AGTGTATGCGGTCCAGTGCAGCGAGGACTGTCCAGACCTCTACATTGGAGAAACTAAACAGCCTCTTCACAGACGCATGACTCAACACAGGAGAGCCACCTCCTCTGGACAAGATTCAGCTGTTCACCTCCATCTCACAGATAAGGGACACTCTTTTGAGGACCAAAATGTGCACATTTTGGACCGAGAACACAGATGGTTTGAGAGGGGTGTGAAGGAAGCAATTTATGTAAAAAGAGAAAAACCATCTCTTAACAGAGGAGGAGGCCTCAGATTTCCACTTTCAAAAACATATAATGCAACTTTAAGACAGATTCCCAGCCGGTTTTCACACCTGATGGGAACAGAGGGGCCTCGTCTGTGAATTAGAGGAACAAAGACCTACTGTTTTAGGTTTTAGGTGTGAACTGCCAATCTACATATATGTGTGTGTGTGTGTGTGTGTGTGTGTCTTATCTCACTCAGTCTTATAACCTGTATCTCTCACTCTCTGCTCTTTGAATTGAGAAAGCTCCTCGGATGAGGAGCGAAACATCTTCTGTTACAAATAAAGTCCAGTTGTTTTTGTATTGAACGCTTTTTGAAGTCTTTAAAATTCTTTTGTTGACCTTCAAGTGCCTAAATGGCCTCGCACCCCTTTACCTCTCTGAGCTTCTGGAACCTTACGTTCCCTCTCGGGCCCGAGATCATCCGATCAGCTGCTTTTGGCTGTTCCAAAAACAAGACTGAAGCTCAGAGGAGATCAGGCATTTTCAGTCATGGGCCCCAAACTCTGGAACAACCTGCCCCCCAACATTAGGAAGGCCACCTCCCTTCCTGGGTTCAAATCTCTGCTAAAAACATCTGTTCTCACAGGCCTTTCACACAGTGTGAGATGACAGTGTTTGTTTATTTTTTTGTGTGTTCCTTTGTTTTAAATGCTTTTTATTAATTCTTCAGTATTATCATTAGTGTATGGTGTTTTTTCCCCATTAATTTTACTCCCATTGATGTTGTTGTTAAGCACTTTGATAACAGTTTCTGTTTTAAATGTGCCTTATGAATAAAGTTGACTTGACTTCTCCAGAGTCTTTTGTTTCGCTGCCCACAGCCTCTTTTGGGTCTCTTCTCTTTGACGTTTGACAAAAAGCCACAGACTGAGCAGAATATTCAATAAATCTATGAGATCCTCCATTTTGGTAGTGTATCTTTTTAGGGTCTTCTTCTTCTTAATACCTTTAGTGATGGTTAGTATATAGCTTAAGGGAGCACTACCACCACCAGCTGGTAGGTGAGTTGGATTCTGGACCCCACTTACAGAACTGGTCCTGAAGTGCATATGGAAATGCAACATGGACCGAACTGAGCTGAGCTGAACCGAGTCGAGCTGATCCGAGCTGTCACTATGGAAAAGGCCCATTAGATTATAGTAGAGCTGGTCCAGTGTACATATTTGTCCCTCTGGTGGCACACTGCACAAGATGTGCAAATTTAGGGAGGACAGTCTTTAGGCATGCTTGGATAAAATCCCCAGCAATGAAATTAATGCCATCAGGGTGGACTTGCTGCTATCCATGCGGACTATTCATGCTGCTGATCTCTTGCTGATTTATTTCATGTTGCTGTGTGTACATTTGTCCTCATCTTCTCACACAGACTCATGCTTGTGCTGCTGTTGTTTGGTGAATTGTTTTTGTACTACTAGTGTGTAGTGTATTCTTAGTATTTCTTAGTTCATATCTTAGATCTTATTACTGTTTTTCCTTGTACAATTTATACTTTTGTTGGATGTAACAGGGACTCTGTGTACACAATTTTGTTCCACCACATGTACCACATGAGATTCAAATGATAATAAAGAACGTTGACCTTAATCTTGACCTTGATCTATTGACTGTGTTGTCGATCCATGTTGGATGGTGGTTGGATGATGGTCGTATGGATGAATGATTGTTAGATGAAAGTTAGATGTGATTGGATGGTTGGATGATGGATGGTTGGATGATAGATGATTGTTGGATGTTGGTTGGATGACAGATGATATTTAGATGATGGTTAGATGATGTTAGATGAAAGTTAGATTATGGTTGGATTATAGAAGACAATTAGATGATGTTTGGATGATAGAAGAAAGTTAGATGGTTGGATGATTGATGATGGTTGGATGATGCAGCAGCCCGATTTTTAAACAGTACAGGCAAAAGAGAGCACATTACACCAGTTTTGGCCTCACTGCACTGGTTACCGGTTCACCTTCGAATCCAGTTCAAAATACTCATGTATGTCTACAAATCACTGAACAGTCCCCCCCCCCCCCCCATCTCTCTGATCTGCTACAACCGTATGTCCCACCATGCTCCCTGAGGTCAGCGGACCAGTTGCTCCTCACAGTTCCAGGAACTCGTCTTAAGCGCAGAGGTGACAGGGCCTTCTCTGTAGCAGGACCAAGACTTTGGAACGAGTTACCTCTGCTTGTCAGACAGGCCCCTCCCTCTCGGTTTTCAAGTCCTGTTTAAAAACTCACTACTATTCAGTAGCTTTCAACACAAGAGGATCTGTGTTTGATCCTGTATGCTCCACACTGGTTTGTCGTCATTATCTGCATCGTTTTTATGTCTATATTCTGATTTACCTCATTTTGTATATTTCTTTGTGTGTTACCTGTTGTTCTGTCTGTACAGCACTTTGGTTGGCCTTGTTGCTGTTTTAAGTGCTTTATAAATAAAGTGGTATGGTATGATGTTGGATCATGGTTGGATGATAAAAGAAAGTTAGATGGCGATTGGATGGTTGGATGATTGATGATGGTTGGTTGATAGATGATTGTTGGATGATAGTTGGCTGATAGATGATTGTTGGATGATGGTTGGATGTTAGATGATGTTTGGGTGGTTGGATGATAGTTAGATGAAAGTTAGATGATGTTGGATGGTTGGATGATAGATGATGGTTGGATGATGTTTGATGATTGTATGATGGTTGAATGATGGTTGGATGATATATGATAGTTAGATGAAAGTTTGATTATGGTTGGATGATAGATGATGGTTGGATGATGGTTGATGATTGATTGATGGTTGGATGATGGCTGGATGATAAATGTTGGATGAATGATGACCGTTGTTCTTGCTTTTTAAACAGATTTTTAAAACAGTTTAAATTTGAGATATAAAATCTGTCAAACTTTTGTTCAGTTTTTTATTTTTAAATATTTTCATGTTCCTCTGCTGCCATCTTTGTTCATCATGTTCAACTCAACATGGCTGCTGCCATGACATCACCACACATCCACCCAGTCATCAAGCAGCTGCATAAAACTCCGACCAATCAGATGAAGCCAAAGTTCTGCGCGTGTTGTCCTGATCCAATCAGGTGAAGGGTTCCGTGGTTAGAACACAGTGATCCGTGGAGATAGTCACAGCTACCTCTTTAAGGTAGACATGATGCTGTGTTGCATTCTGTGTAGTTCCTTGAGTCTGCTGCTCCCAGTCAGCTGATTGACCAATGATCCAGAGTAGGTAAGATGACACCATTGCCTTCAGTCTTGCCCGGACTGGAAAGAACTGGACTTCCTGTTTCTGTCAAGAGAAGCACAAAGATCCATTCAAACTGAGCCAAAACAAACCAGATGTGGTTCTAGACAATAACCAGAACTGGGTCAGCAACAGAACTGAACCAGAACAAACCAGAGTTAGGACCTGAAATGTTTGAGTAAGAAAATCTAGTCCTGAACCCGTTCAGTCCAGGTAATCTAGTCCTGAACTGGGTCGGCCTGAACTCCAAACAGATGTGTAAGTAAAACTTTATTTATATAGCTCTTCTCAAGATCCATCCATCCATCCATTTTCTTCCGCTTATCTGGGGTCGGGTCATGGGGGTAGCAGCCTAAGTAGGGAGGCCCAGACTTCCCTCTCCCCAGCCACTTGGGCCAGCTCTTCCGGGGGAATCCCGAGGCGTTCCCAGGCCAGCCGAGAAACATAGTCCCTCTAGCATGTCCTGGGTCTTCCTCTGGGCCTCCTTCCGGTGGGACGTGTCCGGAACACCTCACCAGGGAGGCGTCCTGAAGGCATCCTAAACAGATGCCCAAGCCACCTCAACTGGCTCCTCTTGACGTGGAGAAGCAGCGGCTCTACTCTGAGTCCCTCCCAGATGATCGAGCTTCTCACCCTGTCTCTAAGGGAGAGCCCAGACACCCTGCGGAGAAAACTCATTTCGGCCGCTTGTATCCGAGATCTCATTCTTTCGGTCACAACCCAAAGCTCATGACCATAGATGAGGGTAGGAACGTAGATCGATCGGTAAATTGAGAGCTTCGCCTTTTGACTCGGCTCTCTCTTCACCACGACAGACCTGTACAACGCCTGCTTCACTGCAGATGCTGCACCTATCCGCCTATCGATCTTGCGCTCCATTTTTCCCTCATTCGTGAACAAGACCCCAAGATACTTGAACTCCTCCACTTGGGGTAGGACCTCTTTCCTGACCCGGAGAGGGCACTCTACCCTTTTCCGGCTCAAGACCATGGCCTCGGATTTGGAGGAACTGATCTTCATCCCGGCCGCGTCGCATTCGGCTGCGAACCTCTCCAGCGAAAGCTGTAGATCACGATCTGATGAAGCCAATAAGACCACATCATCTGCAAAAAGCAGAGACGCAATCCTAAGGCCACCAAAACGGATCCCCTCAACACCTTGGCTGCACCTAGAAATTCTGTCCATAAAAGTTATGAACAGAATCGTTGACAAAGGGCAACCTTGGCGGAGTCCAACTCTCACCGGGAACAAGCCCGACTTACTGCCGGCGATGCGGACCACGCTCTGACACCGGTCATACAGGGACCTAACAGCCCGTATCAAAGGGCCCGGTACCCCATACTCCCAGAGTACCCCCCACAGGGTCCCCCGAGGGACGCGGTCGAACGCCTTCTCCAAGTCCTCAAAGCACATGTAGACTGGTTGGGCAAACTCCCACGCACCCTCCAGGACCCTGCTGAGAGTGTAGAGCTGGTCCAGTGTTTCACGGCCAGGACAAAAACCGCACTGCTCCTCCTGAATCCGAGGTTCGACTATCCGACGGACCCTCCTGTCCAGAACCCCCGAATAGACCTTACCAGGGAGGCTTAAGAGCGTGTGTTTTATGAAATTAGTTTAACAGGGGTCGTGAACGGTCGGCACCGGATATTCACACGATAGGAAAATGAAACACAAGTAGACTGTCCTGCTAGAATAATAGTGCCATTTTATTAATCTGCCACAGAAGAACAGCCAAGCAAAGAAAAACATGTACACTCGTACACTCTTAACACACAAATTGATATGAAAGTCCTCTCACCGTTGACACTTTGATCGGGAAGCCTTTCGACCCGATGACAGGTAAATCACATCAAAACTGTTACTGGGCACCGCGCGCTGGTCCTCAGCAAGACTTCAGACTTCCCTTGCCTGTCACACCTCCTATATATCCCTCCCTGACCGGATCGCGTGAGAGCAGTGAAAAACAAGTTTGATGATTGTCAGGAGGACAGATCTCATTAAAACATGTTTTCCATCATCAAAGCAGTCTGTGCAACAGAGCGATGGCTCATAAAAACATGTCCTTCAAACCCAAAGTTTGTGGGTGGTTGAAAGACCTGTCTACATCAAACCCTGGGTCACTGTAACCTTAAGATGGGTCAGATCCCAGGTTAGAGCATCCCCCGGAGGACTTTAATTACTCCAAAACACATCTGCAGCACAGGCCTGACTTTGGACAGATAAGCTGCATATAAAGTGAGTATAAATTGACATAAAAGCATCAAAATAATCATTCCTATATCAGCGTGATTCCCCTGTAGTTGGAACACACTCTACGGTCCCCCTTTTTGAATAGGGGGACCACCACCCCGGTCTGCCAATCCAGGGGAACTTCCCCCGATGTCCACGCAATATTGCAGAGTCGCATAAGCCAACACAACCCTACAACATCCAGAGCCTTAAGGAACTCTGGGTGAATCTCATCCACCCCTGGGGCCCTGCCACCGAGGAGCTTTTTAACCACCTCGGTGACCTCAGCACCAGAGATTGGAGGGCCCAACCCTGAGTCCCCAGGCTCCGCTTCCTCAGTGGAAGACATGCCAGTGGGATTGAGGAGGTCTTCAAAGTATTCCGCCCACCGACCCACAACATCCGGAGTTGAGGTCAGCAGCACACCACTCCCACTATAAACAGTTTTGGTGGCATACCGCTTTCCCCCCTGAGATGCCGGAAGGTGGACCAGAATCGCCTTGAAGCCATGCGGAAGTCATTTTCCATGGCTCTCCGAACTCCTCCCATGCCCGAGTTTTTGCCTCAGCGACCACCCGAGCCGCATGTCGCTTGGACTGCTGGTACCCATCAGCTGCTTCCGGGGTCCCACAGGCCAAAAAGGCCCGATTGGACTCCTTCTTCAGCCTGACAGCATCCCTCACCGACGGTGTCCACCATCGGGTTCGAGGGTTGCCGCCGCGACAGGCACCGACAACCTTGCGGCCGCAGCTCCGGTAAGGCGCCTCGACAATAGAGGCACGAAACATGGTCCACTCAGACTCAATGTCCCCCACCTCCCTCGGAACATGTTCAAGGTTCTCCTGGAGGTAGGAGTTAAAACTCCGTCTCACAGGAGACTCTGCCAGACGTTTCCAGCAAACCCTCACAATACGTTTAGGTCTGCCAGGTCTGACCGGCATCCTCCCCCACCATCGGAGCCAACTCACCATCAGGTAGTGATCAGTTGACAGCTCCGCCCCTCTCTTCACACGAGTGTCCAAGACATGTGGCCGCAGATCAGATGAGACGATGACAAAGTCGATCATCGAACTGTGGCCTAGGGTGTCCTGGTACCAAGAGCACATATGGGCACCCTTATGCTTGAACAAGGTGTTCGTTATTGACAATCCATGACAAGTACAGAAGTCCAACAACAGAACACCACTCTGGTTCAGATCAGGGGGGCCGTTCCTCCCAACCACACCCCTCCAGGTCTCACTGTCATTGCCCACATGAGCATTGAAGTCCCCCAATAGAACAAGGGAGTCCCCTGGAGGTGTACTTTCCAGTACCCCCTCCAAGGACTCCAGAAAGGGTGGATAATCTGAACTGCCGTTTGGTGCATAAGCACAAACGACAGTCAGAACCCGTCCCCCCACACGTAGGCAGAGGGAGGCCACCCTCTCATTCACCGGGGTGAACCCCAACACACAGGCACCAAGTTGGGGGGCAATAAGTATGCCCACTCATGCTCGGCGCCTCTCACCAGGGACAACTCCAGAGTGGAAGAGTGTCCAGCCCCTCTAAAGGAAACTGGTTCCAGAGCCCGAACCATGCGTAGAGGTGAGTCCAACTATTTCTAGCCGGAATCTTTCAGCCTCACAAACCAGCTCAGGCTTCTTCCCCACCAGTGAGGTGACATTCCATGTCCCAATAGCCAGCTTCTGTAAGCGAGGATCAGACCGCCAGGGTCCCCGCCCTCGGCTACCACCCATCCCACATTGCACCCGACCCCTTTGGCCCCTCCCACAGGTGGTGAGCCCATGGGACGGGGGACCCACGTCTCCTCTTCGGGCTGTGCCCGGCCGAGCTCCATGGGTAAAAGCCCGGCCACCAGGCACTCGCTCGCATGCCCCACCTCCAGGCCCGGCTCCAGAGTGGGGCCCCGGTGACCCACGTCCGGGCAAGGGAACACTAGGTCCATTTATTTGTCTCATCTTCGGGGTCTTTGGGCTGCACTTTGTCTGGTCCCTCACCTAGGACCTGTCTGCCATGGGTGACCCTACTAGGGGCATAAAGCCCCTGACAGCATAGCTCCTAGGACCATTGGGACACTCAAACCCCTCCACCACGGTAAGGTGGCAGTCTAGGGATGATTAGCTTTTAGTTTGGTGTGGGGGACAATGAGCACGTTTTGATTACGGGACCTGATCAGGGTGTAGGGATGCCAACATTCTGAAAGCTCCAAGTCAAAACAAAACCTTGAAATTTGCCTGATAATGAACTGGGAGCCAGTGGAGTTGCTTTAGAAGTGGAGTTCTATTTCATCCTGACATTCAGAGGGTGGTGCTGAAACCTTCCCTGCATGCATGCATCGTTCAAGTAGTAATAGCAAAACAAGTCACAGATGTGACATGTCGGATGATTAACCAGAGGGCGTAGGCTGGCATCATCCACGGCCCTGCTCCTTTTGTCTTCTCCTGTGCGGTTCACTTTACTACTGACCTTGGACCTTCTCACCGTCGCTACACGCCCAGGTGCCTGTTGGCAGGAGTTGCAGTGTGCCGTCCTATGGGCTGCGACGAGTTAGCGTGGGTCAAGGTGTTTCTGCTGGTTGATGAGAAAGACTGTTTGTTGCCTCCCCCTCCTGACTACAGTGTTTGAATACGGTGTTGTGAGTATTACAGTAGAGTTGCTATCGACGAGAGCGGTAAGTGCCTCTCTAAGTTATCGTTTGTTAATAAAGTGACGAGGCAGCGTTCCTCGCTCCGTCTCCCTTTCTTAGCAGGAGTTAACATGGTTAGCGGCTAAGTTTGTTTTGCGGTAGCTTTTCTGCTCTGCTCCCAATCTTCAGTTAAGCCTTGATGGAGTTACAGTGTTAGCTCTCTTGTTTTACTGGTCCAGTGGCATCGTGGAAATGGCAGCATTTCTCTCAAGTTGTTTGGCCTACCTCCTGCTCAGCTTGGACTCAGCTAATTGTTAGCAGCTAAGCTGTTGTTTTGCTTTAATTGATGAAGATAATAATAATAATAATAATCATTTTATTTAAAAAGCGCCTTTCATGATGATTTCAAGATGCATCTCCTCTCCCAAAAATTTCTTCAGTTAAGCTAATGGTGCTGTTAGCCTCTACTTAATTTGTTTTAATTGGTGACGTAGTATACAGGGGGGCTCATGGAGTTTCCACCGGGGGGGCTATAACTCCAAAATAAACTATATATATATGTATACAAACCGGATTCCAAAAAAGTTTGGACACTAAACAAATTGTGAATAAAAACTGAATGCAATCATGTGGAGATGGCAAATGTCAATATTTAATTCGTAATATAACATAGATGACAGATCAAAAGTTTAATCTGAGTAAATGTAACATTTCAAAGGGAAAAATATGTTAATTCAAAATTTCACAGTGTCAACAAATCCCCAAAAAGTTGGGACAAGTAGCAATAAGTGGCTGGAAAAAGGAAATTGAGCATATAACGAACAGCTGAAAGACCAATTAACACTAATTAAGTGTCCTTGGGTGTCATGAAAGGCACTTTTTAAATAAAATGATTATTAATATTATTATTATAATTAGGTCAATTGACAACATGACTGGGTATAAAACGAGCTTCTCAGAGTGTCAGTGTCTCTCAGAAGCCAAGATTGTAAGAGGATCACCAATTCCACCATTGTTGCGCAGAAAGATAGTGCAACAATACCAGAATGGTGTTACCCAGCGTAAAATAGCAAAGACTTTTAAATTATCATCATCAACCGTGCATAACATCATCAAAAGATTCAGAGAATCTGGAACAATCGCTGTGCGTAAGGGTCAAGGCCGTAAAACTCTACTGGATGCTCGTGATCTCCGGGCCCTTAAACGTCACTGCACCTCAAACAGGAATGACACTGTCAAGGAAATAACAGAATGGGCTCAGGAATACTTTCAGAAAGCATTGTCAGTGAACACAATCCACCGTGCCATCCGCCGTTGCCAGCTGAAACTCTACAGTGCAAAGAGGAAGCCATTTCTAAGCAAGCTCCACAAGCTCAGACGTTTGCACTGGGCCAGGGGTCATTTAAAATGGAGTGTGGCAAAATGGAAGACTGTTCTGTGGTCAGATGAGTCACGATTTGAAGTTCTTTATGGAACACTGGGACGCCATGTCATCTGGACCAGAGAGGACAAGGATAACCCAAGTTGTTATCAACGCTCCATTCAGAAGCCTGCATCACTGATGGTACGGGGTTGCATGAGCGCTTGTGGCATGGGCTGCTTGCATGTCTGGAAAGGCACCATTAATGCAGAGAACTATGTTCAGGTTCTAGAACAACATATGCTCCCATCTAGACGTCATCTCTTTCAGGGAAGACCCTGCATTTTTCAACACGATAATGCCAGACCACATTCTGCAGCAATCACAACATCATGGCTATGTAGGAGAAGGATCCGGGTACTGAAAAGGCCAGCCTGCAGTCCAGATCTTTCACCTATAGAGAACATTTGGCGCATCATAAAGAGGAAGGTGCCACAAAGAAGGCCCAAGACGATTGAACAGTTAGAGGCCTGTATTAGACATGAATGGGAGAGCATTCCTATTTCTAAACTTGAGAAACTGGTCTCCTCTGTCCCCAGACGTCTGTTGAGTGTTGGAAGAAGAAGGGGGGATGCCACACAGTGGTAAAAATGGACTTGTCCCAACTTTTTTGGGATTTGTTGACGCCATGATATTTGGAAACAACAGATTTTCCCCTTAACATTCATACATTCTCTCAGTTTAAACTTTTGATCTGTGATTTGTGTTCTATTCTGAATAAAATATTAGATGTTGGCACCTCCACATCATTGCATTCAGTTTTTATTCACAATTTGTTTAGTGTCCCAACTTTTTTGGAATCCGGTTTTTAAGTTACGTGAGCTCTTTTTTAAAACTTAAGGTTTCTAAGAACCAGCGTTAAATCTACTGTCAAACACAAGAAGATTCTCTTTTGTTCTTGGGTTGTAGCTGCACCTGACACAAGTTGTCTTGAGTGTGGTCTGGGTACTATGAAATATGAAGCATCTGAAGCGAAACCTGCTCCATTTGTCCAAAAAGTCTGGTCTCAATTAAAGATCATGAGTCCTATGACGAGATAATGGCCCAAAACAAACGTTAAAACAAAATTTGCTCTTTAGAAGTTCTTCTATGAGATCCGATCTATGAAAGGAGCTGAAACATGGAGTAGGGTTGACCTTTAAAATGTGAGACAGCTGAGGAAGTTAACCAGTAAACAGAAATACCTGCTCCAGTTGCAGAAATCTGACAGAAACTGACAAATCACTCATCTGTAGTGACTGCAGGTTGAACAAGAAAATGTGAAGTTAAAGGAAACATCCTTTGTCCCAAGGCCAGTTTAAGTATCATTAATATTTTTCTTTCTTTATGAATCAATTGTAACCATTTTCACATTTTTCAACAACCAAAATGGATTTTGTTTTTTAATGTTATGGCTAGGTATTAAAATAAAAATAACATTTAGCCCTCCCCACTACCCAGTTATGTTGCTCCTATTTTGAAATGTAACCGGAAGTTCTGTGTTAAGAGAGGCGGAAAGAGAAGTTATGGAGACGCCGCTAATGTCAAACCGACATCTTTATTTAAATGCCAGACAGGGTCCTAGCCCATTGATACCAGCCGTCACTGATAGTATCTATACCTCTGCTCCCAATTTTTTCCAACCTCATAGACGGTCTTGGGCTGAGCACCTACAAGTTTGTTGTTTTGCTTAGTTGGTGATGACAGCAGCTCTCTTCCTCTCCCAAATTTTTTAGTTGAGTTGACTGTGACAGCAGTGTTTGTTCCTTTTACTTGACCACAGAGACGGTCTTGGATTCAGCTAACTGTGTTAGCATCTCTAGGTTTGTTTCTTAATTGGTGACGATAGTGTTGCGCCTCCGCTCCCAATTTAGTCGACCTCATAAATGGTCTTGGACTGGGTTGACTGTGTCTCTAAATTGGTTGTTTTGCTAGGCTGCTGCTTGCTTTAATTGGTGACGATAGTGTCCCACTTCCACTCCCAATTTTAGCCAGCCTCATAACCTGTTTAGATTGAGCTAATGATGTTACCCCCCCACACACACACACTCAAAATTGGTTGGTTTGCTGTAGTTGGGTTGGGTTAGAAAACAGAAGAAAACATAAAAAATATAAAATGAAAACAGAAGAAAATATATAAAATGCAGAAGAGCAGCAGCAGTGAGACAAGCGGCAGCACCAAACACAGGCGCCATCATACCAGGAGTAAGTATCATACATGTGGTCTGAACAGAAACCAGGATAAACCGGGTCCTGACCGTGGCACCACAAGAAACCATCAGAACCTGAGCGCTGTTTCCTGAAGGTTTGTGACGGCAGTGAAAGAACAAGATGAAGTCCAGTGTTTAGCGTTCCGGCTCTACTGGACCAATTGGATTCAACCATGAGAATGTTGAGTTTGGACAGAACCATTGGACCTGTGCTTGAGTTTGAACCAGTAAAACTGGTCCTTACAGCCCAGCTGGGCTCTGGGTCTGATAAAAACATTAAATCTACACAAGAACTTTCAACAGTTGGTTCTAATCAACAGAACTCACGTGGACAACTTCTGGGTCTGACTGTCCTTCAGCCCACAGCTGTGGTCCAAGGTTTTACTGCGCTGGCCCAAGGTCCTGGTTCTGAGGACTCTCTGGTCCAAGCTACTGGTTCTGTGGTCTCTCTGGTCCAGTACACTGGCCTGGTCCAGGAGGCTGGTGGTGTTGCTGCGGATCAAAACCGGCACAGAGGAGGTGGTCTGGGTATTCAAGGTGAAGTGGGAAGTCCTCATGGAGTCATCTGAGAGAAACAGGAAGTGATGTCACAGCAGAGACCCACAGAAATGAGAAACAGGAAGTGATAATAATAATAATAATACATTTTATTTCAGGGTGCCTTTCAAAAACCCAAGGTCACCTTACAAAAACAATTAAAATCAGCAATTAATAAAAACAGAATCAACAAATAATTAAAAATAAGTCACAATAAAACAACACTTAAAACAAAGTTAAAACAAAGTTAAAACAAAGTTAAAGAGAATATGCCTGTTTAAACATGTGTGTTTTCAGTTGTGATTTAAAAGAGGGAAGAGAGTCTGTGTTCCTGATGACAGGAGGGAGTTCCAGAGCTGAGGAGCACAGAGACTGAAGCCTCTGTTCCCCGTGGTGACGAGACGGGCACAAGGAACAATAAAATGAGTGGCAGATGAGGATCTGAGGGAACGGGAAGCAGTGGAGATGTGAAGCAGATCACACAGGTAAGGAGGGGCAAGGTTATGGATGCACTTGAACGTGAGAGTTAAGATTTTAAAATTTATTTTAGCTTCTATGGGCAACCAGTGAAGCTGCTGCAGAACCGGGGTGATGTGTTCTCTGAACAGGGTACAAGTTATGACCCGAGCTGCAGAGTTCTGGAGGAGTTTGAGTTTATGGAGAGTCTTATTCAGGAGACCAAAAAGAAGAGAGTTGCAATAATCAATCCTGGAGGTGATAAGGCTATGGCCAAGGATGGCAGCAGCATGAGGAGTAAGAAAAGGACGAAGTTGGTTGATGTTACGTAAATGGAAGTATGCAGACCGGGTGATAGAGTTAATATGAGATTGAAATGAAAGCGTATTATCAAGTATGACACCCAGACTCTTTACCTGAGGGGAAGGAAGAACATGGGAGTTAATATTGATGGAAAAACTCTGCGATTTGGTTAAAGTGGAGACTGTGCCAACAAGTAAATCTTCTGTTTTCTTACTGTTGAGTTTAAGAAAATTTGAGGAAAACCATGATCTCATTTCCATAAGACAGTCCGATAGGGAGGAAGGTGGAAGAGATGAATTGGGTTTTGAGGAAATGTAGAGCTGGGTGTCATCTGCATAACAGTGAAAATTGACATTATGTTTCTGGAATATGTGGCCAAGAGGGAGCATATAAATAATAAATAAAAGGGGCGCTAATACAGAACCCTGGGGCACACCTGCAGCAACGGGAAACAAACTTGAGGAATGGGTTTTAAATTGAATAAACTGAGTGCGGCCTGAAAGACATGAATTAAACCAAGCAAGTGGAGTATGACTGATGCCAGTGGATGCTAGTCTGTTCAGGAGGATATCATGAGAAATAGTGTCAAATGCCGCACTGAGATCAAAGAGGATGAGAATATTGAGGAGACCAGAATCAGCTGCCATCAAAAGGTCATTGGTGATTCTTAATAAAGCTGTTTCAGTACTATGGTGGGGGCGGAAACCAGACTGGAATTGTTCGTAAAAACTATGTTTATTGAGGAGTGAGTGGAGCTGAGAGGCAACAACTTTCTCAAGGATTTTAGAAATAAAAGGAAGATTAGATATTGGTCGAAGGTTATCAAAATTATTTGGATCTGAACCAGGCTTTTTTAGAATTGGAGTGACAGAAGCTGTTTTCAGAGAAGAAGGAACAATTCCAGTATTAAGGGAAGAGTGAATGATAGTGGTTATGAGAGGAACCAATGTGGGGAGACAAGCTTTAACTAACACTGTGGGAAGAGGGTCAAGCTGGCAGGTGGATGATTTTGATTTATGAATATTTGTTACATCAGATATGGAAGGAAGAGTGAAACTTGAGAGTAAATGACAGGAGGGCAGAGGGGAAAACAGGGGGTCAGCTTCAGTGTTAGCAGCTCTTACAGGGTTAAATTGTTGGTGGATATTGGAAATTTTGTCAGTGAAAAAGGACATGAGAGGGTTACAAAAGTCAGCAGAGTACATGTGGGAGGGAAATGAGTCCGGAGGCTTAGTCATTTTGGCAAAGAGTGAAAACAGAGACTTGGAGTTACCTTCGTTAGAACTGATTAAACCAGAGTAGTATGCAGATTTAGCTGAGACAATTCAGTCCTTATAAAACAAAATATGATTGTTATACCTAAAAAGGTTAAAACTGGTCCTCTGGACATTCAAAAAAAACAAAACAAAGCAAATCAACAAAAAAATGTAGAAACGTTTCGTCTCTCATCCGAGAGACTTCCTCAGTCTGAGGAGCTATATTCAGCTCAGTCTCTTAAATAGCACCTTCTCAGAATGGATCAACCAGTTTTGCTGCTGACAACCAAAACCAGCTGATCACATGCTCAAGAAGGACCATCAGCCTAACAATGGATCATTAGCACCTGATGGCTGTTTACTATTCACAGAGGGCTGAGTGATACTAGCAATCACAGCATTGTAAGAGGGGGACAGTTGAACCTGGAGGCTCCGCCCCTGTTTAATGATGGACGATTTCTTTTCACAAAGATGGCCTCCTTTACTCCTCTCTCAAACCATCGTTCCTCTCTGTCCAGGATGTGAACATCTTCATTCCTGAAAGAGTGACCGCTGGCCTGGAGATGAGTGTAGACCACAGAGTCCTGGCCTGATGATGTTGATCTTCTGTGCTGGTCCATCCTTTTGGCCAGTGGCTGTTTTGTTTCCCCGATTTAAGACTGATCACAGCCTTCCTGACACTGAACAGCATACACAACATTACTCTGTTTGTGCCGGGGGACTGGATCTTTGGGATGAACCAGTCTTTAATGTATTTTGGGGTTTAAAAGCCACTGGGACGTTATGTTTAGAAAATAAATGTCTCAGTTTCTCTGATACTCCCTCAACATCTGGAATGACCACTGGTCTGGGTCTGGGTTCCTCCTTTTCACCTGATGGCTGACTGGAGTCCTGTTTGGGTTTCTTCTCTGCTTTCAGGAAGGCCCAGTTAGGATATCCACATTGCTCTAGAGCCTGTTTTGTGTGGGATTTCTCCTTCTGCCTGGCTTCTGAGCTAGTGGGGATGCTGTCTGCTCTGTGGTACAGAGTCCTGATGACTCCTAACTTGTGCTCCAAAGGGTGATGGGAGTCAAACTGCAAATACTGGTCTGTGTGGGTGGGTTTGCGGTACACCTCAGTTTGCAAATGTCCTCTATCAGAGACTGAGACCTCACAGTCCAAGAAAGCCAACCTGCCATTTTTTACATCTTCTCGTGTGAACTTGATGTATTTATCCACAGAGTT